TCAAAAATGGGCATCTGAAATGAACAGACATTTCTCAGACAAAGAAGTAAAAGCAGCAAATAAACATATGAAAAAATGTTGAACATCACTGGTTATTCCAGAGATGCAGATGAAAACAGCACTGGGATTCCACCTCACCCCAGAAAGAATGGCTACTATCAAGAAATCGATCAATAACAAATGCTAGTGGGGTTGTGGGGAGAAAAGAACCGTTCTTCATTGTTGGTGGGAGTGCAGAAGGGTGCAACCACTGTGGAAATCAATATGGAGATACCTCAAACAACTAGGATTGGAAGTCCCATTTGATCCAGAAATTCCTCTGCTGGGGATCTTCCCAAATGAATTAAAATCATACCACAGCCATATATATGCACCCATGTTTATAGTTGCACAGTTTGTAATAGCGAAAGCTTGGAAACAGCCCAACTGCTCATCAAGTGGAGACTGGACAAAGATGTGTTTTTTTTATAAAATTGAGTACTACTCACCCATAAAGAACAAGAAACTAGAGACATTTATAGATAAGTGGATGCACATTGAGGCCATACTCTTAAGTGAAATAAATAGCACACACATGTGTAAATACCAAATAGTTTCTCTGGTGTGAGAACCTGAAAGTGTAAATAAGGATTAAGATGATCAAAATGTATAATAAATAATGTGAAATAAGAAGAAAACCTCCAAAGGAGTAGGGGAAGTGGGAGGGGTAGGGGAAAGAAAAGAAAGGGGAAAAAAACATGAGATAGGAAAAAAATGGAAACAAATTATTTGTAAATAGGGAACGGTGGAGTGGGTGAGGGAAGACAGAGAATGGGGAAAAAATAAGAACCAAGATACATAATATAAAGGTACAAGATCCCACTGATGAAGGTAACTATACTGTATACATAAAATGTATCAATAAATCAACTTAATAAAAAAATTAAAAAGCAGTCCAAAAATATAACTTAAAAAGGTAAAACCACCAAGCCTCCAAACATATTTCACCAAACCTTGTGACTGGCAGTGAACACTGGATGTTCTTCCTCCTAGTCAAAGATAAAAGGGCGCTGGTTGGGCTCCAGCCCATCAGTGCTGCACAGGATGCCTGAGCAGGGATCAGTGAAGAAGCAAAAAGGTGGAAACAAGAGGGTATGGAAGATAGAAAAGAGTTGAATTTGTTAAAAACTAACAGATAATATGACTATAAACTTGGAAAAAGAATTTTACTTAAATATAGGAACTACAAATAGTGAAAAAATCTTCCTCCCCGGGCCAGGGATTTAGCTCAGTGGTTTCACCACCTGCTGCACAAGCACAAGGACCCAAGTTCAATCCCCCGGTACCAAAATAAAACAAACAAAAAACCTTCCTCCCTTAGTAGCTCTCATGAAACTCAAATGCACATAATACGTATTCATGACACATCTTACATTTCCATTAGCAAATATATCACAGCTCTTAAGTAAAAGACACTTCCCGATCCATGAAAAGAAATTATGCAACTGTTTTTTTCTTTAATTTTTAAAATAACTTTATTATCAAACACACACACATACAGAAATTAAAACCATTCAAAGAAGAACAATGCAAGGGGAAAAAAACTACAATAATATTCAAATACAGTAGAACTCAACCAAAACAAAACTGAAAAACACTTAAACATTTTTCTATATAACTTAAAAAAGCATCTCAAGCACCAACAAGACATCAGAGGATGTGGTTTGTTTCAGAAAGATCCCCAAAACCAACGCTGAACAAATAATGATCTGGAAAAAAACTCCAGTTAGCTAGCAGACTTCACATAAGCCAAATGTCCCTCTAATTTAAATTTCGATACAGTCATATGACACACGATGGAAACACAATCCGAGAAATAAGTCATTAGGCCATTTCATCCATGTGTGTCCTTAATTACATTTTCAGTTTCTCATACTAGAGAAACTATTCAGTATTTACACACGTGTGTCCTATTTATTTCAGTTAAGAGGATGGGCTCGATATGCATCCATTTAGCTATAAATGTCTCTAGTTTCTGGTTCTTTATGGCTGAGTAGTATTCCATTTTATAAAAAAACCACATCTTTGTCCAGTCTCCAGTTGATGGGCACTTGGGCTGTTTCCAAGCTTTCGCTATTACAAACTGTGCCGCTATAAACATGGGTGCACATATATCACTATGGTAAGATTCTTTTAATTCTTTTGGAAAAATACCCAGCAGGGGGATAGCTGGGTAAAATGGGACCTCTAAGAGATTTACACCAAAACACATAATAACGGAAGCATGGAAAATCAGAGACAAAAAAGAATCTTGACAAGAGAAATGTGACTTCCCAGATGGCAGCATGGTCCTAGGAGTGTCAAATCTCAGCAGAAATTCTGCCAGCTACATGTAAGGATTCATTCACAGCACTGATGGAAAACACTGCCAGTTAACAACTACACCAGACAAAACTGTTCTTCACAAATGAAGAAAGTGAGCCTAATCAGATAAAAATTAAGGGAGTTCATTACCATGAAACCTGCCTGACAAGAATTTATTGCTTTCTTTTTTCTTTTCAAATAGGTTCATGCTGATTTGCCCAGGCTGGCCACAAACTTGAGATCCTTTTGCCTTGGCCTCTGGAGCAGCTGGGATTACACATGTGTAGCAGCTTGCCCAGCCCAAGAATTTCTAAGAGAAATCATGAAGTTGAAAAAAAGAAGAGAAAAAGAAAAGCATAAAAATGCATAAAACTCCAGACAAAGGTATGTAAGCCCTTCAGTAAGAATAATTTTGTTCAGTTTGAATGAATTAAATGTCTATATTAACAGACATACAATGACTAAAGAGAGATTAAAAAAAAAGGAAACCAAGATTGAACTACATGCTGTAAACAAAGATTCACTATTGTTCAAAGGACTCACAGAGGGTAAAAGTGTAAAGGTGGAAAGAAATGCAAATAGGAACCCAAAGAGAAGGGGTAGCTACTCTTAATATTTTAACACATTGCCTTTAAAATAAAAACTGTCTCAAGAGAAAAAGATTTTGCAGAACTACTAAAAGGGCAGTTCTCCAGGAGATATAATTATAAGCATGTACCCAACATTAATCTCCACAATGTATGAAGCAAACACTGACAGAATTAGACAGCAGACAATAATGGGGGGACAATTCACTCTCCATGTAACTTATGGACAGAACAACCAGACAGAAGTTCTAGAAATAAACAGAGGGCTTCAACAATTCTACACAGCACATGCATCTCGCAGACCTATACAGAATATTCTATCCAACAACAGCAGAAATTATTACCTCTAAACCCCACAGGAACATCTACTTTATATATCATAGGTTAGGTTAAAACAAATGTTTAATAAAGTTTTAAAAAATTGAAGTCATTTTAATTTTCTTATGCACAATGGAATGAATGCAGAAATCCACAGCTGAGCAGGTACAAAACTCCACAAATATCTGAAAATTAAACTTACTCTCAACCTACTGGTAAAAGTAAGAAAAAATTTCTGAAAACATCTGTAGCAAAAGAAAAATGAAAACAAATATGACAAAACTTAAGGAATGTAGGAAAAGCAATAGTAAGATGTCTAAGATAGTAAACTTCACATCCAGAAGGACAAACTCAAACCAATAAACTTACACTTCAGTGAAAAAAAAAATTCAAAAATGCCATAAGCAACAGGAAGAAAAAAATTATTATCAGAGTAGAGATAATTGACACAGCTACAGATTAATCAGTAAAACATTAACGTTTTGAAAAGATTGGTACTTCCCAGAACCATGACCAATGGAGCCTCCTCACATAATCCATGTCACTGGTCCTAGTGAGATGGAGTCATAGTGGAGCTGAGCGAGGATGAGGGCACCACAGGTGAGTGTCAGCAAACACAGCAGGCTGCAGGATTACAGGAGGTTAGCAGTCCTGTATCCAGCACTTTACAAAGGAGAAAGACATAGAACAAGCAAATGAGATCAGCACTTTACCTGAATAACAGCCATTCTCGACTCCTTTTTGTTCCTCTTCCTCCTCTTCTAGGCTTCTTCCTTAAGTTTTTAAAGGTTAATCCTAGCACGGTTGAATTCCCAGCATTCAGGAGGCAGGGGCAGGAGGATCACCACAAATACCAGGCCAGCCTACACAGTGGGATACTGTCTCAAAAAAAAAAAGTTAATCCTGAATGTCAAAAATATGCTGTTTAATGTTCAGAATGAACACATCCCTTCCTGTAACACAGCCACCCACAGGGATGATAACCTCACCATGTGGAAAGATGAGTCCTCTGCTGCCCACTGCACTGAGTGTAGAGATGCAGTAATATGCAACTCCTACAGGAGGCCCAACCAGAGACTTCCTTGACACTTCAGAGCTTGCTTGCCTCCTGGTGAAGCCTAAACACCCAGGAGCAGTGGGGAACTGGGCTGTACTGAGTTCTCCTTCAGGACATAGTCCCAGCGCTGACCAAACCCATGCACAGCACATGCCCTCGTTCCTCCATGGATCACAGCTCTCATTAATGCTGGAGTGCCCAGTGTTGCACACAGAATAGAATCAACTTTAATGTCTATCAGGCTGGGTCCCAGGCTGATCATGGGAAAGGGATTCTGGTAGGTGCCACAGCACACTTATTAGCAAAACACCTCAACTCTCCAATGGGAAGCCAGGATTAAGCACCACCCAAGAGGGCAAGAGCAGCCCACATCCTACCTCTGGCTCAGCTCTCCCTTTGGAGCCTTGTTGTCCCCAGGATCCAGACAGCAGACTGGGAAGGATCAGAAAGAAACATGCAGAGCAGGCAGCATGGACCAGGGAGTGAGTATGTGGTTAGGGTGTCAGGGGAAGGTGGAGAGGCCACAGAAATCTCCATGGAGATGATAATACCAGAGCAAAGACCTGGGAAGGAAGGTGTCTGCCACCTGCAGCTGATGCCCCAGTGAGTTCTAAGCTTAGACAGAACCAAAGGAATGTCCTAAGGAAGGAGCTACAGCATCCCCAGGGAAAGGCAAGAGGCCTGTGTGTCCAGGGCAGAGTGAGCAGGGAGGAGGATACTGCAGGAGAGGAAGGCAGGGAGGGACTTCTGGAAGCAGAGCAGGTGTGGCTGAGATCTTCTAATACTTCTCTCCCACATCTGAAACAAATTTTGGAAATGATGGACTTGTCAATCATCTAATATAAAGGTGTGATTTTTTTCTTCCATTTTAAATCAAAATACAAACATTACAATGAATCTTACACTTAAAATACATGCAGAAGTGTTCAGGTAAGCTCCAGGAAGTACAGGGTCACCCCTACCTGAGATATAGAGGACTACAAAGAAGCATTTGCAGAGCTTAGGAAGTCATTTGAGGACTATGAAGGTAGAGTTATCTCTTTGCTATCCCCGCAGAACTAAGGTGATACAAGCACACAGGATTCTAGGGTTTCTGGGAGAGGTCTGCAGGGTAATGAGACACATGTATGGTGTCAAAGCTATGGAGGAGGTGATAAAGGGGTATTGTCATGAAGAGGTTCAAGGATAAAGTGTGGGGCACTGTCACATTCAGACAACACAGTGTTCAGGAGACACCGGCAGAGGACGCCACCTTCCTGTCTGCTATGGCTGTGAATCACCTCTCTTATCCTCCAGCTCTAAGCCCCTCCCTTTTCTTGCTCCTCTCCCTACTTCGCTGTCTGCATCTCTCTGGCAATCAACACTCTATCTTTCTCTATTTGATTTTCCTCCCCTGCTACTTTCTTTTCTTCTTTCACTCTTAAGATCTCTTTGGAGTCCCTCACCCATCCTCTACTTGCCATCTGTTTATGGGTCTATTTCTCCCGACCTCTTTGTCCATAGCTCAAAGGGTGGGGATGGAACGAGAACTCGCCTCCAGAGGAGCCTATCTGCCCCTGGGGAAGAATTTGGGAAGCAAGAACCCTGAAGTCACAGGACAGGCCAGGTGACCTCCACTCCCACGGAGGGGAGACTGCAAGGGGAGGCGCGGGGGGGGGGCGAGGCCAGGTCCCCCTCGCAGTAAGGATGGCGCCCGGCGGCCTAGAGGACAGCAGGGTGAGGGAGAAGGCGCGGCGGGTTCTGCCTGTCCTGCCTGGGCTGCGGCAATTTACTAGGGTGGCGGTCCGGGGACTAAAATCTTCCTAGGTACCCAGATCCGGACAGGAAGGCGCTGGGGACCAAGGAGCGCAGAGAATCCGGATAGAGGGAAACTCACGTGGCCCTGTGCCGTCCACTCCCGGATGCACTTCCGGGTCTGCAGGCTCCTGAGCGGCCCGCGGAGAAGCCGAGCCTGAGCCTGGAAACGCGGGAGGTGGGCGGGCCTAAGTGGGAGGGCCTATAGCAGATCTCTGCGCGTGCGCACTGGTGTTCCCGCTGTGGTCCCGCGGGTTTGCAGAAAGTCCTGGACCCATGGAAGCGCTTTTCGCGAAAGTGAGGAGTTTATATTCCACATCTGGGAACGTGCAGGGCGAGGGAGGCAGAGACTGACGTGTGGAGAACGATGGTAAAACATTTTGGACAGGTAGGGCGGATGGACTAAGAGACACTGGGAGGTGGAATTGGAGACACGGAAATCAGAGACACCGAGTGCTGGGATAGAAGAGGGACTAGGTGACCTGGAGAGCAGTGGCCAAACAGGGAGGGGACTTACTGGGCTGAGCGGATCAGAATTCAAGCAAGGTTAGTGAGAACCTTGTCTTCAGGCTTTTGTCTAAGTGCCCCTCGCCAGAGCCTCATGTGCTCACAGACGTGGCTTTTGAAAGGAGTTTGGGTCAGGGGGCTGCTGTAGCTAAACGTGTTGTTAGGAGGTGGGGCCAGGTGGGGCCTGGTCGGAAGAGGAGGATCACTAGACCTTGCCTCTCTAACCCTATCTAACCTTCCCTCCGAGCTACCCCTTCTCTCTCTGCTTCCCCTCCACGAAGCCCCTCTGCCCTGCTATTTCTTTGGAGCCAGCAAACCATGGACCGAAACGTGAGTGGAAATAAACCTCTCCTCCTTAAGGTTACTGGAGTCCCGTATTTTGTCCCAGTAGAGAGAAAGTAGCTATGACAGCTTCCCTTCTGCTGCAGTCTTAGGAAGCTAGTAACTCCAGAGCCAGTAGAATAGGATTTGATGAGCTAGAAGACAAAGCAGCAAATTGACATTTGACAATTGATATTATTGAGTCAGAGAAACAGAAAGAGAAAAGATGGAGAAAAGTGAACATACCCTATCAAGTGGTGGCACTTTCACGGGGACTACCAATTATGGATACTGAAGAATCAGAAGGGAATGAGATAGAGAATTTGAAAACATACTGGTTATAACCTCCCCAACTTTGATATCACACACTGGTAAAATCATGATTATAAACTTAAGGCTAAACGTTCTAGAGGAACAGGGCAAACACAAACCACTAATGTGTGAAGGGATGGAGGTAGAAGGGATCAAATGGGAGAGTTTCTCACTTTTTCATGATCCTTAAAGGTTGACATGGTCCCAAAGGAAAGTGTAGGAGATATTGAAGTCTGACCTATTAGAGACTATCAGAGAGGTTCGTGTAACTCCATTCCAGACTTCCCTGAATTCTTCTACCCTCATATATGCTACTTTGTAATAATCAGATCAGTAAGTGGCACCATCTTAAATATTCACCAAAAAAGAGAAAGTATCTGAGAAGAATGTCCAATGAAGAAAAAGGAAGACTATGATGTCATCATTTATATTTGAAATCATTGGCCTCATTCATAGAATTGAATGGAAAGTTTGAAATGATGAAATGGAAATATTCCAGGAAAAATTACTTGACAAAACAGACTCAAGCACCGATAGGAAACCTTGTCAGAAAAAACCTCTATTTATCTATATATCTATATCAGTGCCTCACAAATCAAAGCACCAGCATGAGAATATTCAACTGCCATATCATTTAAAAAAATTTTTTTGAGAAAAGATCTCAGTCCAGATTGGCCTTGAAATTGGGGCGATCCTCCTGTCTCAACCTCCTGTCTCAATCTCCTGAATCCTGGGATTACAGGCACATGCCATCATCCCTGGCTCAAAAATTCTTAAAGCAATGCAGCTGCTCTGTCAAAAAGCATTGAATGCTCACCAAAATTATCTACATAGTGTTATGCTGAGACAAAGAAGGAGGACCCCGATCATGCAATTTTTCAGTGAATAAGTACAGAATCTAGAGATTTTTTTAAAAAAATCAGTGCTTTGACTCTTGCAAATTTAACCCGGGTGTACTATCCATTCCCCTGTGAAGATTTTCAGGCCAACTTGGAATTCAGCAGGTAACAGTTCACTTAACTACCATGACTTCTAACTCATCTGCAAGTCTAAACCTCCCAAATCACCCTTAGGGTCAATAATTCACTTGAAGACCTCATAGAACTCACAGAGAGCTGTTTTACTCATGGTTACATTTTATTACATGGAAGGAGAGGTTATATCCACAGAGGGAAGCAGCAGACCGGGTGGAGTCCAGGACAAGTGCCCACATTGAGCTTCCAGTTATGCTCACATGCTGTCAAAGAGGCACCATTTTCCAGCACCATGTGAAACAGTACTCTTGCAGATTTTTAACCAGATCACCTAAGGCTGGTGCCCAGAGCTTCTTCTCAAGCTCTATCATACACAATCTATGTGGCTAGCTTTTCTTCTCTCATTCCTCCATAAGTTGGACTGCCTCTGCATGGCCCCAGGTCTCCCTCATACATCACACTGTTACACCGTCTGGTGTCCATAGCCCCAGTGAAACAAAGACCTCTTCCTTCAGACTTGATATTTCAAAGGGCTGGCTTTACCTCCCAGTGTCTAACAGCAAAAGCTGGGCCTCAGTTTGGGTAAAGCTATTTTTTAATACTGCTAGTGTCTCCCTAAATCTCTCTTACAGAAAAGGGAGCATGTTTGTGCATCTACATTTTCTATGGCCTTCACAGGACACATCTGAGAATTTTTTTTTTTTGTACTGGGGATCGAACTTGGGACCTTGTACTTGTGAGGCAGGTGGTGGAACAACTGAGCTAAATCCCTGGCCCACACCTGACAATACTGTCATGCGTGTATTCCTAAAATTTGAAGTGCCAGTGTGTGGTAGCAGAGATTTAGAGCTACAGTAGTTGCATTCAGTAGATTCATTAATTCATCTTCATATTTATTAAATTACTCATTTTCATCCCAGACTCACCACTTAAGTTTAGATAATTTTTACACACTATATTTTCAAGTCAAATGTATACTTCACATGTGTTAAATGTAAACTGCACATATGGTGTAACCAAAGTGGACGGAGCAGATTAATGAGAATGAAGAGGCAAAGGATGCTATGAAATTGTGGCAATATGACTTGCGGGTCTGTGAGGATAAGGGTTGCAACAATCATAGGAACACAGGACAGAATAGGGAGAAAGCCACAATGGATCAAAGTAGATAGAAGGCAGAGGGTTAAAATACCTAACAGAGAGGCTGGGGATTTAGCTCAGTGGTTCCGGCACCTGCCACGCAAGCACAAGGCCCCAAGTTTGATCCCCGGTACCAAAAAACAACCAACCAAACAAAAAATGCCTAACAGAGTTATTGTGGACAAAGGATTAAAGAACACAGGTGAGGTGATTTCTAAGTTATATAATTTTTTTTCTTTTTGATGGAATGACAACACTGACAATAGAAGTGCAGAAATTTTTATTAGTTATTATTAGCTGTAAAGGAGTAAGATTCTGAGTAGAAGCACATCAGGGTTATTCCTAGAAAGTGTGACAGCAGGCTGGGAGTAGCACATGGAGGACACGTAGTGTGACAATCACTGGGATTCCTGGGAACTCTGTGAATTGATTACTCTGAATAATAATTTAATGCCTCTGAAACATGGGGTTGTCCTTGTCTGGTATTGTCCATTTGGCAATCTGGAGGGGGTCCCTAAGTGGCCAAATATGTAAGAGCTCAGTTAGGGAGGTGCTTTGAATGCAGACATAATCAGATGCTAAACAAGGGAAACTGACAACCCTCTACAAGGGTCTCAAAACTGGGTCAAAAGAGAATTAAAAAAAAATGCAAATAGATTACAGTCTATTGGTGAATTAAGTATGCCCTGGCAGTAGGTCTGTAGTGTTGACGGACAGACACTGCAGGTTGGAAGGTGAATACAAGCCTTG